GGCTGTGTGTGCAGACAAGCAGCTGACTCCACCCAGACACTGGCTTATTGCCTTCCGCGTTGGTCGTGACCTATAATAGCACATGATGCTACCAACTATGCCAGAACTTTATACCACGCCAATGGTCGAAACCTATTCTAGTATTACACACACTGAAACGGTTTACTGTGGATTTGTCAATAAAACACTGTGCTGAATTCCAGTGAATTTTGAACTCATATTATCATATATATGAACCTAAGAGGTGTGGTCAATAATAATTACAAGTGCTTTTCAATATTTGACGATGTAATTTCTTGTCATTTTGTTTGCGTAACACTAACACTACAGTCTTATCATCAGGAGTGAATAAAAACAAATCGTTTTTGATTCACTCTTGATATCGTGTAATCGTTAATCTTGAATTCTACTAAGATCGCATTCACTACGTTGGTATACACTTTACAGGGTTCTGCCCACTCTCGGCGGCGGTGGGCGGGTGTGCCCGGTACTCGAGGTTGCCGACCGGCACTATATATCTCCGCCCGGCACTAATTTTTAATATTAAAAAAAAAAGAAAAAAAAAGTGATATATGGCCTTTTTATTGCTCAGAATGCAGGAAATTGAGTTTCAGACTATCACAAATCAAAAATTTTCGTGGGGGGCATGCCCCCGGACCCCCCTAGATTGGCTTCGCGCCTACGGCGCTTGCATCTTGCGACACTGGATGCGCCCGGCACTAAAAAATCCTGGGCAGAACCCTGACTTTATACATCATGGGTAAACCAAGTGAAGGGATTCTTCATTCTGTCACACGACATGTGTTTATTTCTGGCCCAGGACCGCTGTGTATATATAACGATGTGTTCAGTTGAACTGTGCAGGTTTGCGTGGATGGCCAATGCCTATCGGAAACATAAACCTTTAATTTCCGAGTTTTACCAGTACTCATTTAGACATAGATCAATAAATTGTGCCTTGGAAGAATATTTTACAACCGGGCGTGACTTTAAACCACACTTCACCGCCACGAAGAGTTGCGGAAACTGGGGGCCACCTCCCTTAAGCTGGCAGTTTGCACAGCTTCACGTTGTCTAATCATAGGTCCTATGGGTAATGAACTTCTTAGACAGTCTCACCAGCGCTGGGTTTGACAACTTACGCAGCAGCTAGTATACACTGTAAGTGTTGCATAAAAAGTGAAAAGATTGAAAGAAGTGAACTCATGATTTATCTAGACAATTCTGTCACTTTTCATTAACCAAAGTCATCGACAATGGCATGTGTAACTTTACATCCTTATTCATGTTCAATGGAGGACCTTGCTGTCATTGTGTCACGCACTTTCAATATTTTAATCTTAATTATTTCAGGTGCTTCACTCTATTTATACAGCAAGATTCGATAGACACTCAAAGATTCTTGACCTTCAAAACCAAACATATATATACATAACTGTACAGCTAATCTGCATATCTATAGAAAGTACATCTCAATTTTCCTCTAAGAGCATACAGTTTACACAAAAAAGATCTTGCTAAGTAACGAGTCGCCAGGACCATACCGAGGTAAATATATAAAATCTATGCTTTTACATGGTGACTTTTGACCTCGATTTTAAAACAAGCTGGTTCTATATTCGTGCCCGATGCTATTATGACAATTATTAATGCCATATTATATAATATATATATATATAAGTCTGGATGCTTGAGTCTATACTGTCGGTAGAGTGCTCGATGCATTTCAAGTATTGCGTTGCAAGTTGCAGAGCGTAATAAATTGTAGTCTGTAGTCTGTAGTTTGTCTAAAAGTGATGTCTTGTCTTTAATTTATCTACAGTCTACAATTTATATATATATATATATGTAGCCAGGTGAAGCGGATAGTGCTATTGTTCATGCCACACGTTCATTAGCACATCAGTACAGCAGTATGCAGGTTTGCCAATGTCGTAGCATGAGCTCTGACTCTCCGACTGATTAGGATGAGCTTAGAAGCAACAGCTGGTCAACTAGTACCCGAGGTCTGACACAGCCTGCCTCGTGTACGACAATGGCCCTAGGCTTTTAAGGCGAGACTCGCAGAGTTACTAGACTGAAACAGGTTACAAACTAACCGAGATTATGACGCATACAAATCAGACTGTAGGAAGGTGAGTCTCGAGACAGAACAACAACATGCGACCGATGTTATACCTTGCTATGTGCCACGTGATAACATCAGCTGAAGCAAGTAAACATCGGTGATGCGTGATAAGTGCCCGACAAGCTTTTTTAGCAAACAACAGTAATCCGACAGCACCAGATTATGCTTACCGGAACTCATCTGCCAACACCAAGTGCCGTAGTTACATGATTAATATCTCAAAAATGTAGTGTTCTCTGTAGTTTGAACTGATACGCATGCCCACTTGTAAGCACAGACATGAGACATTTCACAATGCTAGGAACCATTGATTTGAACCATATAAATGAATGCATACATTTATAAAGTTGCATCTTCGACATATATAGTGTTGTACTGTAAGTTGCCAGAGGCATGTGGATACGCTCTGCACCTAGCATCCGGAACATAGGCAAACAAAACAATCAAATATATATATCAAAACCAAGAACAGGTTTTCCACAAAATCCAAGCCCCTCTTGTCCCTCAAGGCAGGTTGCAAGTACTTACTAAACAAGCACAAATTATGAGGTAGGGTGTAATGGTAACTGTTGTCCAATTGAACACATTACCGCTTGCTAGAAAGTGGGTCACGTTATTTGGAGTTGGTCTGGTATTGTTTTGAGAAAGATAAAACTGCACCTTGTAGTCTCAACTCTCAACACGGTAAGCAATTACAAAGAACATGTCTAAGGAATTATAGCCACATGAACCGTATATATATGAGTGTGATCTTCACACTCGCACACACGCACGTACACATGCAAACACACACACACGCACGCACGCACGCACACACACACACACACACACACACACACACACACACACACAAACACACCACAAAATGCACCTAACCTATACTGCTAATATCATCCCATGAGGAGTTCAAAGAACCCACTGATGATAACCACAGGTAAAGTGAGTCGATTCGTAAATATGTGACTGGCTAAATTGAGCCAATCCAAGTCTCCTCTTCCACAATGTCAACAATTACCTTCTACCTCAAACAGAATGAGATAGATCTGTACTAGCTCAGCTGTGTGTGTGTGTGTATATATATGCACGTGTACAGAACTATTGCTATGCCACGGTTTAACCCCTTAAACGTCCTCACAATCTAAGGGGGCTCCATAAATACCCACAAACAGCAAAATATTATGAGCGGCAGCCAGTTGCTGACCTAGACATATCGCAGCCAACATGTGCAACGTTCTACCAACAGAAACAACATGACTGTGAGCAGGGGAGAAAACTCTGCCGCTACTATAACTTAATCACACGTCGCCAATTATGATCAGGGATTATAGTTCCAAGTAAATGACAGCACTGTTAAATCCCTTATGTTGTGTTCATTGCGTGTCGGTGCACGTTGGTTTATGTGCATGTTTCAGATGCCTATTTGTGTACATGTGTTTTTAGGTTTATGCCAAGGAGAAAATTCGGATACTGCTAATAGTAATAGAGTCACCACATGTGGTTGATGGCCATACTATAGATCCTTACTAATCTCTTCTCAGAAACACTAAAACATTATTCCTACGTTCAAATAATAAAATTCAAAGGAACCTGCGATGTTCTTTTATTCTAATGAAATAGGACATGGAGAAGCTATTGGCCATTTGATAACTCCAAAATTCACACTAAAGATTACTCACAGCTAGGCATCTATCAGACTATCACACCACTTAGTAGACTTTAATCATTCACACAGCTGCTACAAAGAATCACAACTATAACAAAATATAGGATCTAAGATACCTAATGATTTTACTAAAAGCAAACAATCGTGAACCATTTCCCCCCAGCGTATAGTTTGTATGCTTGTTATAACCTTGATTTATGTGAATAACCTCTTAGATGGCCAGTAATGACAGTTATTATGACAATCATTGTGAGATATGCGTGGAACATCAGTGTATTTAGTACAATGAATAAGAAATAAAACGAATAAAATGAATGTCCCTGAATCCACTTCAATCTGCAATTGATTTTCCAATGGCCATGAAATAAGGCACCGTTCATGAGGAGATCCGCGTAACTAGCTCAGCACCACAAGTTAGGCTGAGAGGGTCTATGTCCCCCAGGGTACTGCCGGAACGTACCCTGGGTAAGGTCCGGTATACCGGAACGTACCCTAGTACCAGAGCATATAAATCAACGTTATTTATATGCTCTGCTGGTACTATCTAATATGCCGGACCATACCTCGCCTACTCCACTAACGAGTCTAGGGAGTCGCCTACAGCTACTCTCTAACCCTAACCCTAACCATATCAGATAGTTACCAGGGTACGTTCTGGTATACCGGACCGTACCCAGGGTACGTTCCGGCAGTACCCTGGGGGACATAGACCCTATGAGCACAAGTTAGAGGAAAACCTCACATATACATCATGGTCATGCATAATTAATTTAACAATCAGTCTGTGACTGTGTCATAGTGTGTGTGTGTGTGCGTGTGTGTGTGTGTGTGTGTGTGTGTGTGTGTGTGTGTGTGTGTGTGTGTGTGTGTGTGTATGTGTGTGTGTGTGTGTGTGTGTGTGTGTGTGTGTGTGTGTGTGTGTGTGTGTGTGTGTGTGTGTGTGTGTGTGTGCGTGCGTGCGCGTGCATGTGTTGTGTCGTACTCGTAGGCTCATCAGTGGCCATGTGTAAAGCGTAGACTAGGCTAAACCGACCAGGCTCTCCGACTGTTACACGTCGTAGGAAACTCTCGCCAACGTAGTGTTACTGTTAAGCGAGAAGGGAACTTGTGCCTGTGTGGCTAAGACACCGTCGCAGTGTTTTAAACTGCCGTACATAAATTCCTTCCAAATTCGATTACATGAATGCATCAAATGTACTTTATACTTACATGACAATCCTCGAGAAAATTGCAGAAAGCATAGCAAAAGCGTTGTACGTCAGATTTGACTAAATCATCACAAAGACGTTCAAACACAAACAAACGTCAGAATGCCAAGTTGCCAACTAACGAGTGAACTCTGGGCAACTGCTACCGGGTCGTCACAATGCTGCGTCACGTCCTGTGACGTCATAGTTTCTGACGAATCGAGGAACACCTACTCAGCATGCATAGCTGCACATATAAATATGTAAAAATTTCATATAGAAGTATTTTTAGACCACCCTGGCACTTACCGAATATTTTTGCCAACATCATAATATAATAATAACAGGGCCAGTAGTTTTGAATGTGTGCGCATGTGATTATGTCACCGTAAATAGTAAAAAATAAAAATAAAATTTCTACTTTTTCACAAAATATAAGTAATTCTGTTCACTTTTTATGGGTAAATTTCTGCATTATACTTCTTATCAGGAGTCTATAGACTCCTGTTCTTATTTTACTATATTGTTCGATGTGAACATACACTCGTGACGCATACATAGCCCATACGGGGCATAGCGAGCAATTAATGTCAGGAACACTAATATCAAATCGTCCAGGTTTTTTTGGATTTTTAACTAGTTGAGAAACAATCTTATCAGGTAAGAATTTGACGATACGTTTAGTCCCGTTAGTTCTTACTTAAAAAAATGGCAACAAAATTTTTATAAATTTTAACATAGAAAATTTGTGACGTAGTCAATTTAATGAGTACCGCCCTTGACATGATGCGGCCATGATGCCGAAGCGCGCCGAGGATTGACACTTTGTGTCTTCCAATCACAGCCTATATATACGCCGCACGAGTTTTATATTTTTAAATATGGGGACCCATTGGACCACCAAATCGCTGATTTCAGAAACTAGGGCATTCTGCTAGGCTAGAACGGTTTCCTACGATAGAGTTTGGCACAAATACGAAAATAACACGCTAGCTGTTTAGCGCACTGCGCTACGTCATTCTTTTGCATTTTCGCATTTCCGTAATCAGAATATAAGCCTCGCTTTCGTTGATGGGCATGAATGGGGCGTCAACGACGCGACCCGTTACTGCGTGTAGGTGTTTGGCGAGACTGTTTGCTTTTCATAAATAATAAAAGACCCGGCCGATGCATTTCATCAGTCTTGTACATCAATGCACGTGCGTCAAGAGCCATAAACTCAACACAATTTCATCTCTGTTATGCGTGATTGATCAGGGAGGTCATGTAATAGGGAGACATTTTCTTTGGGGTTCCGAAAAACACAATTCCACTT